TCACTGGTGTTTTGCATCTTCTTCAAGTTGAGAATTTGTTAATCTGCCTCCCACTCTCAGCAAATCATCATCTCCTTTGATTGGATTTAGCTTCTTTAACTGTAAAGGTTCCTTTGGGAGAGTCTTCTGTACATACAAAATAATATTTCTCTCTGCTTCCTTGAACTCTTTTACTGTTATAGGTCCCAACCTTGGTTTCCTTTTTAAGAAATGTTTAAGTCTAATGTACCACGCCACAGCTTTCTTCATTTTAAACCACGATGAGTAGTAGTTTAGTAACTTACAAGTATGATCAGCATTACTTTTTATACTGCAAACCACTGGACTTGCCTTCAGTTCTAAGAATTCTTCCAATTCTGAACATCTAAACAGTGGTTGCACAGGCCATTTATGTTCTTCACACTGTAAGAAATTTGGACCAACCCACCTATCATTCCTCAGCAAATCTGATGCAGACATTCCACGAGATGCATCATCTCCAGGATTTTCTTCAGAAGGTACATACCTCCACTGACTGACTTCAGTGTGATCAAGAATTTTACCTACTCTGTTGGCTACATATGTTTGGAAACGTTTATCTGAGCTGTTCAAGTACCATAGTACTATTTGACTATCCACCCAGTATACTGATATTTCTAGAGGTATCTCCAATTCTTTAGTTAGAATTTTATCAAGCCTTACAGCTTCTAGAGCTCCAGCTAGTTCTAGTCTTGGGATTGTAGAACCTTTCAGGGGTGCGAGACGTGACTTAGCCATAATCAAGTTAATATATACAGAGTTATCCTCAAGTGTTACTCTCAAGTATGATGCAACACCATACCCATATTCAGAAGCATCTGAAAAATGATGAAGTTGAGCCTTTTTTATAGTTAAACCTGTTGGATTAAAGCATCTGGGAACCTTAAACCTTTTAATCTCTGGCAAATCAGCTAACCCAGTTCCTGGAAGTGGTTCATCCCAGCCTTTTTGTAGTCTGCACAATTGCTGAAATATTCTCCTAGCCTGTAATATGAATGGACTGACATAGCCTAGAGGGTCAAACACAGTGCTAAGTGTACTGAGCACATTCCTTTTGGTTTGGGTTCTGTTATGCATCACTTGTACATCAAATCCTAAGTAATCAGTATTCACATGCCACAGCATACCTAGAGCTCTCTCCGTGGATTGATCCTCCAAATTCAACTGCAGAGATATCAAAGATTTTCCTCGGTCCTCCTTTGGTATATGCTTCAGCAGTTCTGGTGATGAAGAAATATATTTAGTAAGATGAAATCCCCTTCTATTCAGAAGCTCTTTAACTTGCTTTGCTAAAACTATAGCAGACTCAACACTATTTGCAGACTTCAGGCAGTCGTCCACATAAAAGTTGCGAAGAACTGTGTTCAGTACTTCTTCTGAATACATGTTGCGATACTCTTCAACTACCTTTTGAAGGGCATAATTTGCACAGCTCGGGCTCCATACTCCTCCAAAGATATGAGCTGTCATTCGTAAGGTCTGTAGGGGTTGTGATGTGTTGTTCTCAAACCACAGAAAGCGAAGTGAGTCTCTGTCTTCAGGGGTAACACGCACTTGATGAAACATGGACTCTATATCGGCCATAAATCCCACTGCTCCTTGTCGGAATCTCAACAGAACACCAACAAGTCCATTGGTCAAATCTGGTCCCTGATGCACATGATCATTGAGTGAAGAGCCACCATACTTAGCACAGTCAAAAACAATGCGACACTTTTCTGGTTTCTTTGGATTCAACACAGGGTGGTGCGGCAGATACCACACTTTGCCATCATGGCGGTGCAAGTCTTTTTCAGGGACTACTTCTGCATATCCTTTTTTTAACAGTTTGTGGATTTCTTCAGAGTATTTTCTTTTTAGTGTGTCATCCTTGTTAAGGCGCTTGGTTAATGATATTAACCTCTTCTCGGCTAGGAATTTGTTGTCAGGTAAACTAGGTCGCTGTGCCTTGAATGGTATACTCAATGCATAATGTCCCTCTATCACCTGGAGTGTACTGTTCCATGTGTCAACTGCTTTCTGATCACTAACTGACCAGCCCTTCTCTTCTGCAAAGGCATCCTCTATCTCCCATAGTCTCTTCATATCACCTTCCAATGGTACACTTGCCTGTATCAAATAGTCGCCAAAAGGGTTCACTGGTCCATTTATGACCCAGCCTAGTGGTGTGAGCAAGGCAAAAGGTTCTCCCTGTTTACCTCTTTTGACATCAGTTGGCAGCAACAAGTCTGAAGAGTCTTGGCCAATCAGTAAGTGCACTTGGTCTGCCTTCACTTCTGGTATATCCAAATCTCTAAGGTGCGGCCACTGCACAACATCCATTTGTGTTGATCTACCTGTGAGATCTATATTCAGACTTGGTCTCACAGTTGCTTCTATGTTGTATTGTAAGTCACTAACCTCGTTCACACTGGAAACAGTCAAAGACACTGCTGTTGTTTCCACAGACATTCGGTTCTGTGTAAGTGTGGTTAACTCCAAA